TTTTGGGGTAAAAATTGTTTTGAAAGGGGGGGGGTCGTAGGAAACATTTCCTGAAGGAGGGGGGTCGTAAAAACTTTTCGAAAAGTAGCAACGATAGGACTGACCCTGTTCCCGACTCGAGTGCACCCACTGGACCGTTAGAGCATGCAATTATACGAAGTTGGATATCAATGACATCCCTCCTGCCTCTCAATAAATAGAGGAAAAACAGTGTTGCTACATCATCGTAATTCTCATGTCAACGAAAACCATCAAATTTAGAGATCCAAGATTAAGCATGCTTTCCAAGATGGGGAGCATCTTCAAATCTTCTGGAAAACATCTTCAATCTTACTGATCCTTACATTTGCTTGTTCTTAGTTTTCCAGACGTCGAGACGTCGAGAGTTTCCTCATCTTAACATGTGACGCCTCATCATCATCACATCTCAACGAAAGTGCGGATCAATGCACACATCTGAAGAATTGGTGATGCAGCCATAACTCGACTGCTATACGAATGGTATCGAGGAGGAACGGCTCGCTATTCTTTTTTGATATGCAAATATTTTGCAAAATTTGATATTCCTTTATGGAGGCATGCAACGCAGAAGAAATAGTAAGGTGTAAAGTCGCAAAAATGTTCCTGCTCGCCTTGGCTTAACAAGCTTCCGTAATTTGACTGGCCATATTACTTCTTCTCACTGTATGAGCCTTCCGACACAATTTATCTACCTCCACTAACATTATTCGATGTCTCTTTTTTGCCCAACTGTTCTGTTTGACTGAAAATCCACCCGGAACGGATCATCATCTCATTGAGCTCAGTTCCTTTTTTGACCAGACAGAAAGAACAGACCGAGTACCAAGTGAAGGCCAAAAATAACAATCCAATGATTGTTTCATTTCTGTGGCTGCGATCATGAAGGTTCCCCCTAATCAAAAAAAAATAGCGGCGACTATCATGGGCTCGCTGATCATCGTCAAAGAGGATCAGAGAGGCAGACTTTGTTCGTTATAAAAGTTCGAGGAGCCGCAAGAGCAAAAGCCATGCACCAGTTTGGACGGTATAAATTACGAAGGGATTTTTTCATTTTTTTCCTTTTTTTTTCAAAGATTTTTTTTTACTTTACTTTCACGCTAGAGCAGATTTAGCGCACCGATTTAGTCGTGTGGCCTGCTTTTGAGAGGGAGGATGACCTCACACTAGCGTGATCCCTCATCACATCTGATTTTTGAAAAAGCATTATCACGATATTCGTCCTTCGATCCCACATTTCCCGGCTTGATTACTCTGCGGGTGAGAAGGAGCCAGCTTTCACCATCAATTCAAAAACTTAGCAGGGGCGGAGCAAAAGAAGCATGTTCACGAAGCCACAGCTTCTCCAAGCCGTTAGAATGCTATTTGTGCTACAAAGTGGCTTTATACTTTTCCGTACCTCTACTCTTTCCCAGTAAAGAGTTATTTGAGAAGTGGCCCAGCTTTAGAATTCTCTACGCTACTGAGCTCAGCTTTATTATGATCGCGCTTCCTGGCGTGATTCTACTCATAAGAGCACTTGGAGGCTCTACTCGGCTGTTCCATGTGAATCTCATCAAAATCATGCAGGTAATTTGTGCTGTAACTTCTGATAGCCTCAAAAACATTAAAAACCATAACAGACTGGAAAGCTTTTGAGCGTTAATTTATGAACTCTGTACTGTTTAAGAAACCACCATAATTCAACTGATTTTCTAGATACAGGGCGTCCTTATGAAGAGCTAATTGTGCATAGAGAAAACCTGCCTTTGTTAAAGCTGCAATTTTTTCCACCACGTACATAGTCACGTTTTCCTGGTTACGTTATCAAGCTGTTCTTGCAAGTAGCGCGGTTGCTGGTCAGTATTTGAAGCTTCAAAAAGTTACTTTTTAGAGGTTTTTGCATTTCTAAAGATTTATGCTGTTGCTCTATGTCTCCTAACCCTACAATACATTTACTTTAGCGGCTACATAAGAAATGAACTTGAATAGAAAAGTGGTCTTCTCGCGTACGCTGCCTGGAGATAAAAGGGAAAGCAAGAATGGAATATTCTGATAGCGATGCCTCGATTCAGTAGAAGCTCATGATTATCTATCAGACCTAGGGACAGTGTTTCCACAGACACGTCTGTCAAGGTTTAATAGCACGGTTATCGCGCTATAAGTTAGGGAACACCGTTTACTAGCGTTTCTCCAAGTAGTACTCGTTACAAAATCTTGATTCTTGTTGCTAGTATTGGGTTAAACCAGGGTGGTGTGGTGGCAAGACGGTATAGCGCGAATGCTACAGACATACACAGAGTCCTGGATTACACCTTATCTGGGCCAATAAAATCCTACATTTCATTGGCGCGTTAACGAAAAACTAGTCTTTGTTTAAAGCCTAATTTCGCTCTGAAAAGTCGTCATTTAAGGGCTAATTTAGCTTCATGATGTGTTCTGCCCTGGAAATAATAGGTGAGATCTTGATTGTCACCTATCTCTATGGCTTTGTGGTCTATACGCCACCCGCTTCTTATTCTGTGATTGAAGTCGTTTAATATTCTCCATCAGGTTCCTTTTTGAGGACGATACATACAATCAACCGATTTTTACAAGAAAATCGCACAGTAGATTCTGCGATCACTGTGAACATGCTGTTGACCCTGGACCCTCTAAGGAGTCAAATTCGTGATTCTTGAATAGGACAGGGCTTGTATTTGAAGGAAGAGCTTCGCTTTTGGGTGAATACTTCAAGAAGTTGCCACTCCCTAAAATTCTCTCCAAACATAACAGTAGCTCCTGGTTGTCACTAACTATGATCTGCCTGGAAGAATTGTAGAAAAATGGGAAGGAAGCTCATGTATTAGATAGCCATTGAGAATTTTTCAATTTCGCATAAATTATTGATTCTCAGGCGCACCTCATCGCTCTGGCCGTATCGGAGATGTCACGAATAGTAGTCGTGCTTCTACGAAACGAGAATAATTGGAAGATCAGGTAATTTAATTTAATATAATCACCGTGATATGTGCCTTCGTTTAAGCAGTGGGTGCTGCTATTTCCTAATAAGGACGTGAATGGCACGAATCTACTACTTTGAAAAGCTCTCACACTTCAACGAGAAACCTGAAAAGTCCCATCCCAACAGGATGGGTGCAAATAACTGGAATCTGGAGAATCCCAAATGTGACGCATACGCCAGTGGGTGGCTTTCCACATAGATCAGAAGGATTTCCCATATGTCCCTACTTCCGAATTTCAGTAAAAGCCACGGCTTTGTCTAAAAAATCAAGACACCTGAGGTCGAATGCAGGAACACCTCATCGGTGCACATCGAAGATTATTTCAGGATTAAAAGACGAGGGCACCAAATCGGAGAGCCGTTTCATTAGTGTTTATATCATAGCGCGGATGTTGACAAACGCTGCGACAACACAAAAAACACTATCGACAAAAAGACTGGAGACATTGAACAAGTTCACAAGCGGGCGCAGCTCACGTAATTTGCCTCCACCTGTATAGGCGAAGGCGAGTTGATGTGCACTAATTTCAAAAAACGAGATTGGGAAATTTCTCAGCTCTTCTGGAGATATATCCCGACACTGCTGCATACTTCACGATTTTCAAGGAGCATACCTTTCAAGTGTGTTGAAGCAGCAAACCCTACATAGTTCTTGCCTTCTGACCATTTTATTGAAGCCATGGAACTGGGAGGTTTTGTAAAAGTTTTCAAATCCTTAAAGTAGGATTCCACGATAATTCGGGAACCGGAAAAGTGGAAACACTTTGTAGGGAAGAAGGAGGATTCAATAAGGGTGCAATTGACATGCAATTCGCAACAAACGATACGTCCCCACCATCTATGTAGCATGGCCATCCCGTGCCGCTATAGCCGCCCCCCGCCCTACCCCATGTCGCTCCAGCTCTAACCGCTTAGCAGAGAGCGTTAGCTTGATGAGGTCAGCACGGATGAGATGCGGTTCATTTGCAGATTAACAGGGGAAGTGAGTCCCATTTCTTGGAATCGAGGTTGTTTTCCTAGGTTTTCGGACATGCCTGGATCACTGAACACCTCTACCTTGGTTTGGTGGGCTGTCTCTTCATCGTAAACTCCGCCTTCAAGAAAAACATGGTAATCAATGTTCGATTCCTTTTGGAAGGCTCATAACGACCTACACCGCCTGTACGGTTCCTAGAGGAAGGGTCGCAACAATAAGGCTGATTTCTACGGGGCAAAAGGTGATCTATGGGTTCTGTGACCGCACTGATTTCATTATACTCCATTAGATTCTCATCAGAGTCGGCATAACAGCATTTATAACAGATAATGAGAAGCATGATTGCGAGAGCGAAAATAATAGTGATAATTTTGAAAATGCATTCGAAGCTGGGGGGAGGGCGAATTTCCAGAATTTCAGTTCCGATGAAATATGTTTAATTATTTCATCGGAACTGAAATTCTGGAAGAAATAACAAGTGTTAATGAGACACGATTTCAATACCTAGCTCAAGATGAGATGTAGGTAGGCACATCCGACAGTCCTTCTGGTCAAGTTCTCTGTACTTTTAGAAAACTCGTTCGACGTAGTGGTGTTTGCGACGGTGGCTGTACGATTTGCTTCTTTGAGCTCGATAGTGACGATGATTCCGGCGATGGTCACGGAACGAGTCTTTGCCTCCCGTTTCGTCTCTGACTACGAGAAAGTTCCGAGACCTTGGATCCCAATCTTAATTATTGGTGCAGCTCTGGTTTTATCCATATCTTACTACTCGCTCACAATTTTGTGTGAGTATTCTGAGTGCATTATTACTATGACGAAAGCCATTGGAGAGGAGTGCCTCATGGACCTCAAGCCCGAGCCCACCGAATCCTGTTTGTCGTCACATATATCAGTCTCCATTCTTTTTCATAATCAATTTCCAGATCGCTGTTGTGGACCTTGGGTTTAACTATTACCTTTGAGCTTGTAAGAAAATTGGTTTCAATATCTCCAGCAGCTGACGTGGTGTAGTGGCAAGTGGCACTGCTTACCGCACGCAATGGCCGAGATCAAATCCTGGACTGTACGCCGTCCAAGCAACCGTTCCAGCTCTCTGGAACTAACAAGGGAAGGTCTTTCAGGGCAAGGTGCGCTTTTGGAAACGGTTTGTGCATATTGTAGGGACGCATGTATGGACCACAAAACCATGTTTCGTTTTCGCTGAACGGTTTTAGTAGTACCAAAAAAGTGGTGAATAATACTCTTGATGGTTCAATCCCCCGCGGCGACTAAATTTTGCAATCAAGGTTGGCTTGTTGGCTTCAAAATGGTCCTGACGATGAATTGACATCTGATTTTTAGCGCGATTTGGCACCAAACCGTAGGCGCCAACCCAAATGCAAAATTTAGTCGCCACGGGGGATCGAACCTTAACAGTACCTTATGCTTCTTTTTTGGTACTGCTATAACCGTTCAGCGAAAATGAAACATGGTTTTGCGTTCCCTACATGCGTCCCTACAATATGCACAAAACCGTTTTGAAAAAGCGCACCTTGCCCTGAAAGACCTCCCTTGTAAGATGCTTGGTTGGAAAATAAAAAATTGAACACGTGATATCACTCCTCTGAGAGGAGAAAGGGCCCTCACAACATGGTCAGAGGAGGCATTACATCAAAGATGCCGCAAGGATTTTGAACGAAATTAGAATGCGTGGCGCGTCCAAATGAGAATGATCGCTGGCGGATGCTTTATCTTTGCATCTACCTCTTGTGCAGGAGCTGTTCTGGTTGTTGGATTTATATCAATTCTAAATAATGTGACCGAGGTAAATACCCCTCCTGTTGTGAGAGGTATTGACATTTCTTTCAAAGATCCGAAGGTGTGGCTCAATTTGCTTCCATCTCTTTTGAGCGAATTTCGTAAGTTTGATCTCAGCGCTTTTGCGGTTCTTTTGATCAAAACGAACAGCTGTTCGCTTGTTGGTCACGAGCAAAAAGGCTGCTTTCACTGGCCATACCTCTGTAGTTTTTCGTGTCTTCTCCACTTCCAGGATGCAAATTCCAATGTGACGTTTTTCACGCTAAGCACGATTACAATAGGTACGCTAATGGCTGTTTCTTGCTGCACACATCATCATCGTTCAATTAGGCTCAAACACATGTGTGGCTTCCAACACGTGCTAGTGAATTAGCCAGCATTCAACTGACCATTAGGCATGAGCATGAATCCTCAACAGGAAGAAGGTTGTGCAAGTTTGCAAAGAATATTTACAATATGCTCACATTCTGAGTGAATCACAATCATCATCAGCTAAGATACGACGCAAGGATGTCTGTGTGGAGCTTCGTTCCCGATGGAGGGGGTGATTCTCACCATTCGAGATTTCCTCATATCAAAGTACGCAACTTTTCGATCATTTTCGTGAAAATAAACTCATAGTTTTGAACGACGTTATAAAACTATGTAGTTATTGCCGCTATTTACCAACGTTTTCACAAAGATCCCTTTCCGTACTGCGCCATATTACAGAATGGCATCGCATTTCAAAAATTTTTCACAGTGATTAGATGCAGAGAGAGAGCGTAGTGTTGAAGAGGGCACAGCGATGAGAGTCGCATCAATGCGCAAATCAACGGGCAAGGAAGGGGTCCCATTTCTCGGGTTCTGGGCCGTTTCTCATGGTTTTTCTTCATTCCTGCTCCACTGACCACCTCTACCCTTATTTCCAATGAGCCAACGTTTCATCGTATATTCTGTCAGATAAAAAGATAAAGGATAAATTATTCAGCGTTGGCCCATCCCTAGGATGCCCACACATTCTACTTCCACTCAGGATAGTAGTGATCCTACAACATGTCTTTTGGGGACTAGACAATGTACAAATCAGTGTTTTTATCCTCCAGGCGAGCCTGCACTACGGAGGAATGAATCTCGGTTGGCTTGGACGACGCAGGACCCTGGCTTTGATTCCCTGGTAAGCAGCGTACGTACCTCTACAATTTCTGCCGCTTTAGGTTAAATATTACATAAAAGGTCTCCTAGGTGCCATAGAAGCGATTTCCACCATAATCGGAAAAAAATTTGCACCTCCACGTGACGTGCTCATTGAAATTCTAAGTGCCAATGTTGGCTTAGTTTACTATCTCCAGATGATTTCCGCGCTAATACTAGTAGCGATGCTGTCTGTATCATGAAGAATGCGGAGTGAAATTTCTTCACATTCTTACCTAATTATCTTTGTACAAATCTGTCAGTAATCATAAATTCCAGCATTCTTGTCGGCATTCTTTATACTTGGACTGAGTATTTCGTCAGTAATTATTATGACACTAGCTTCTGCGGCTATCGTAATGGTATACCGTAGCGACGTCGCCTTACTAAAAGATCTTACTAACAAAACCGGAGCGTCAACGGTTACCTTATACACTCAGTCTCAAGTTTCAACTCGAAGAAAATGTTCGAGTGACTAAGGTTTGTCGAAAAATTTCTCAGTTGGAAGTGTGGGCCTGATTAAGAAAAATTTATGCCTTTACATGCCCTTGAAACCATTACTGGGCCTGATAAGTCAGTCACTTGCATCACGTGGCGACCTTCTGTTTCGATTCGAAGGCGCGAAGGCGGGTAACTTCGACTTACCTGAAGAGGAGCGTATGACATTTCTGAGCATGGACCCCTGCAGGGACGAGACCCAAGAAATAATTAACCTTAAGTGCTTGCCGTTGACCTACGAAAACGTGACAAGCTATGCATCTGCTAACCAACTCCTACTATCACTACTCCTCTGCTGAATAAAGACTGATAGGATCTAGCATAAACATACTCAGACACGACTTGACTCTTGCAACATTTAACGACTCGATACATAGATATCAATTATCTTAATGCACTAAAGATAAACTTTACACTATCCTTAAGTTAGCAAGAATTCCAGTAAGCAAGCATTAAAAAAGAGCCTCCGTTGTCTCCGTCCCCAGATGTGACATTTAGGGGCGAAGAATCGCGAGGGGCCCGCTCCACATACATTTATGACGAGAACAACCCAGACTTTGGATTGCTCTAGTCGAGAGACAAAAAGAGCGATAAGTGCAGGCCACAACCACAATTGTGACAGCAGAGAAAAGCAGTTTTTTCTTGGCCATCTTTACTTGTGGTGTGCGGTCTGCATTCCACGCTCTTCTCTTCTGCAGAAATAGAATATACCTATCAATAGAAATATGGTCGGTCTGTGATTTTGCTGATAAATAGCAGCTCAGTGCGTTGCCGCTCGATCACGAAGTACATAGTTAGAAGTCGTTATGGCGACTAGCCCACGGGTACCGTCGTATCTTGGATTCCCTCGGAGCGATCAATCGCGTTCGACGACTGTCCATGACCATGTCCAAAAGCAGGTACCTACGCTTAATAACAGTTCATCGTATACTTTGATCCCCATTATCTCATTGGACAGAATCGTAATGTGATAACATCTAAGATGGGATCAGAATTATTGGAATCCTAAGAGAATAAAGATATCACCGCATAAATTGTCTTCAAGTTTGCTAAAACTTTAGACCTAGTCGTACTTCTTGGAGATATATGAAATTAAAACTCAGTCGAAAACGTTCAAACATCCTCTTTCTTCTGTAGGAAGGCACTCTGGAACACTGCGGTGCCGAAGCGGGGAAAGCGCAGTAAACAGGTCATAGGCGGAAGCAATCACGATTACCGCAGCAGTTGGCATGCGTGTTTGTTCAATGTATCCATAGTGGCATGACTCAGCTCATTGTGGCCTTACCATGCGTTGAAAGTGGTCATATGTATCGGTTGCGGCTCCAGCAGCATTGCTACGACAGGTAAATATTCGATATAAGGAATTCCTTAATGTAAAGAAATGAAGGTCACAAAATTTGAAAGAGAAAATTTGGGTAGGCACTAGCCCCAAAGTTACCAAGAATGCATAGAGACGGTCTCGATGCGCGGTCGCACCCTCCAGCAAGATAAGCCACAAGCCCATCGCGGCTATCGTTTCGGCTGCAAAAATGGCACGACGAGTAGTTCCACCTTCACCTGTCGTCCCGTTGATCATCGATTTGCTCGAGCGGGCGCCAGCAACGTCTCCATTCGTCCCTGTCGCGTGCTAGGGTGGTCCAGTGGATCCTCAATTCGAGGGACACGCAGTCCTTCACTCCTTTCGTCGTCTCGTGAAAAGTCTTCATCGGGTTGGTGGTCGTCCAGGTGTTCGTTTGATGTCCTGAGTACCCCGTCCCGGTAACCACTCTGAACGGTCATCACAAAATCGCATGACGGGTCCGGCCCAGTTCCACCTTCCTGACGAATCATTGATTGATTTTTCCATTGGAAAGTATTAACGTGCCACCTCAGAAACTCCAGGTAGGGGTGATGTGATTATTATAATAAGGGAAAGGAGAGGAGACGTAATTCCGATATCAGCGGTGGCTGCCCGCATCCATAGCAAGCTTGCACACAATGTTCTGCTTTAGACTTGCCAGAACTTTTTGATCCCCAACTTTTTTCTTTCTAATCATTGAAACTTATCAGGAAAAATCATTATTATAATATTTTTGATTCAGCTATTATTGTACCTATCCGTTGGTTATTCCTTGTGGGGATCATTCGGATGTTGCCTCTTCGTCTCAGCGTTTGTACTGTTCGACACTACACATCTGCTTGCACAATTGTCCTACGCCTTATTTAACAACTATATTGCGCTGTGA